AATCAGTGATTTAAATAACCAATTTTAATTATGGCTTAAATCAGCAAGCAGGAAACCTTGATATAAATAATCAATTTTAATCTTGTTTAATCTTGTTTTGCATTTGTACTTTTTAGTTATTTCCTACAGAAAGGTTGATTCTCACTGGTTGATAACCTTTAAAACATGTTGATTTGCAACTCATTTATGCTAAATTTGGTACTTCTTTTTGTTAAAGCATATCTACCTATACTATATATTTACGTAATTAGATGACAATTTACATTTATTCACTTTCTTAATTTTTACATTTCTATTACGTTAGAAAATGGTCAGTGATGCATTTGTCATTTGCTAATGATCATTTATTTTTCTTGTGATTTGTGTCAAGCTCTATTTTTATGGACATTAGAATTCAGTTAAAAGTGAACCAAAACAGAATTTTAAAATGGTATTTTTATTAATTAGGTAGCTTTATTTAACTATGCTGGATACAGAAGAAAAAAAGTTTAACAAAAAGGTTATCAAAACAAAATTTAAAAATGTATTAAACAAAGGATTATCTGTAGTTAGTGAACTGAACTCATTGTTTCCAGTTACGATGTCCTTGAGTAGATCTCACCCTCTCACATTTTAGGTTTTTATTCAGAGATTGGAAAAGAAAAACAAGCGTTCCTGCTTTTTCAATTCCCAATTGGTTTCTTAACTCTGAATGTACAAGTCATTGAACTGAGCTAACTAAATAAACTGATTTGAAGAAAATATTCTCTCTGAACCTGTAGTAGAGGCCTCTGCTGTCAAAAGGTGGTTTCGCACTTTAACAAACTCTGGTTTCAGGTGCTTAGCTATTGACCTCCACTAGTTTGGAGGTTTGACTTTCTTTAAAACTTGACAACAAACATGGACTGCTTGATTTTATTTTAAAATTAATTTAAATAATTGTAATAAATTATAATAAGTTTAGTCCTTAACATAGGTTGTCATAATTTCAGTTAATTTTAAATAAGTTTATTTTATTTTAAAAAACTATGTATTTCAATAAAAAAAACAATTTAAATTAAAAAAACAAACCATTGATTTTTTTCTACTTTGACTTGTTGAGATATCTCAAATACAGGATTGGATTCCAGATCTTTCTTCTTCCAAGTTAGAAAATAAGGAAAGTAAAGCCCCATCCCTGTGAACTCCAGGGGCACATCTTCCACTACTCCAACATTCAGAAGAGAATCCACTACTTGTCTTAACAACATCTTATGAGAGGGATCCTTAAAGAGGGTCAAGGACGGAGTTGGGCTAGGAAGGGATGGGGACTGAATGGAATATCCCACACTGACAATCTCTAAAATGGTGTGGTTTGAGGTAATTCCATTCCAGGCCTCTCAACAATAAAACAGTGGTTGCCTAAGAGGGATAGGGGTGGGTGGGAAAGCCTATATAATGTTCAAAGGATATTTATAGCTTTGATGCCATAAAATTTGCTATTATGAAATGGACAGTGTGTAGTAGAGGAGGAAAAGGTAGATGGCCTTCTGTATTGCCCTTCTTCCTTGGCAACTCAGATCCTCATCCAGTGAGGAAGAGGAGATATTTGTTGGGATCAAGCACTTTTCCTCAGCAGGTGTTCTTCATCACTTTCCTGTTCTTCCTGTGGTATAGTGAGAGCCTGTGGCAGCGTCTCCTCTTGAGCAACTCTACAAAGTTTCATAAAAGAAGGCGATGTAACGTTAGTTGGGGTAAAAGGCTGGGGCCAGAGAGGTAGATATCAAGGTATGTGCTCTCTCTAAGATCTCATAGGTCTGTGGTTATAGTGACGGCTCTTAGATTCCCTGTCAGATCAGTAGGGATCAGATGAATGGGAACAAGATAAGCAGGTGGAGAATACCTCCTTGCTATACTCAGAAGGGTATGAAGAAAATGAGTACTCCTCTTCTAATGGTAGGTTTACCCTATTCAGAATTCTAGGGTGAGCTTAAGTTTCCCCAGCCTTCCACCACTGGAGCTGAAGAGTTCACTAATACCATAACATTACTGGTAGTTGATACTTAAGTGCAGGGCAGCCCCACAGCTGAGGACAATTGTGGTGATTTAGGTTGCACAGTCAGTGCAACATCACTGAGTACCAAAAACAACATTGGCGCTGAGAAATCAGTGGTGGGAGAATCTGTACCATAGCGGTCAGCACCGGCGTCATGGGTGCCAGGGTCATCAGCACCTTGTGCACAAATGTCGGTACCAAGAGGTCAGTCCTGAATGAAGTGCAGACTACTGCCTGAGATGGTACTGTATGTGCTCAGTGACTGGGTTTTGCAAGGATATCAGAGGGACCAAATTTGGGCCATGAACTACCTCTTTGGCTGAGTAATAAAATGACACCACCAGATCTACTTCTTATGTGTAATCAGGATCACATCTGCTAACTTTAGAGTTAAAAATAAGCATTTACTGATTCACAGATTTGACAGCCAGAAGGGACTATTATGATCATCTAATCTGATCTCCTGCACCACACAAGAAATTTTCATCCAGTAATTTCTGTATCAAGCCCATAATTTCTGTCTGATCTAGAGCACAGACATCCAGTCTTGATTTAAAGACTTCATGTGATGGAGAATCCACTACATCCCTAAGTAAGTTGTTTCAATGGCAAATTAATCTAACTGTTAAAAAGCTGTATCTTATTTCTAGTCTGAATTTGTCTAGCATCAGCTTCCAGACACTAGATCTAGTTATATCTTTGTCTGCTAGATTAAAGAGCTTGATCAGAAATCTTCCCCACATATAGGTACTTACAAACCATGATCAAGTTACCTCGATCTTCTCTTGAATAAAATAAATAGACTGAGCTTCTTTAGCCTCTCACCATAAGGCAAGTTTTCCAAACCTTGAATCATCCTTGGAACTCATGATCAGTTGGGTATCCATCACGACCTTGAAGTCATTTTCTGAGTCACTGCTTTCCAGAATCCAGTCCCCCATCGTGTAGGTGTGACCTATACCTCTTTGTTCTTAGGTGTACACAGTTATTATATTAAAATGCATGTTGTTCAAGTGAGCCCATTTTACCAAGCAGTTCAGATCGTTCTATAGAACAGATATGGTCTTTTCATTCCATTATTGTTTTTTATTCCCCTTAGCATGGCAAAGCCAATAACTAAGAGGGAGAGAGCTAGATTCTATTCCATCTTGTGCATCATCAACAGAATCATTTACTAAATTTCCAATCAGTTACACAAGTGCAAACCCATTGAAGACAATGGAATTGCTTAGCTGTCACTAATGGCATAATTTGAGACAATAAGGTTACACAGGTGCAACTGGGGGCTTAATACGGCTTGCAGAACTTTTGTTTGTGGTAAATATGGAAATTGGCTCACTCACCTCTCAGATTGGAGGTTGTGTTTGTATTTAAAGAAAAACATTTTTACTGTAAATTAAGCATATTTCATATGGATGTCATTGGAAGCTAATAAACATGGACCCTCACAAGTCATTTTTCAGAGCAGAGCTATGCTTTAATGTGAATGGGTGTCTTTAGGGATTTGGAAAAAAATACTTTAATATAGATAATGTAATTGCCTGAAAAATGTAGTTAGTATGTGGGCAGAATAGTTACATTGCACAATAGAATTTACTTTTCCCATACATTTACAAAATCCTAACTTTCATGGTTCAAGGCTCAACTATTCCAAATTGTATCAAACTGAGTTCTAATGAATGCATTGACATCCTCGATTCAATTTTTGCCCCAAAATTGTCTTAGGCAATAAAACTGTTAAAGATTTATTTGCACCACTGATTTCAATCTGACTCTGCTTAGTAAAAATAATATGGCATTGTGCTGCACACAAAGACACCTCATCGTAAGACAAAAAGGTTGCTGTTGTGTCTTATCTGAACAGGGCATAATTAAGCAAGCATATATTTTCTACTATGCAAAGTCTCAAAGGAAAGAATGAGAAATCTTAAACACAATGCTGAAGTCTTGAACTAATGAATACTTTGATGCTTTTTGTTTGCTTTCTATGGACTTTTGACAGTATAATCCAGCACAGGTGATGCTGCATAGTAAGAACAATGTACTGTCTGCTTTATTTTTGTGGACAAAAAAAAGCCCCAATGTTTTATTGGTGGAATTTTCCCTTTAAAAAAATCACATTAGTATTGAAATGTGGTTATGGTCACTTTCCTCACTTTATGTAAATGGACAAATCCTGCTCTGTCCTCCTTAGCTATGGAAGGTGGTGCACACAGGGAACTTCCATGCTGATGCTGAGTTGGGTAAGCTGAGGAAGGTGGTTCTGAATTCCACTACTTTGTGGATCTGTTGGATTTTCCCTCTGGGAGGCAAACAATTCACTATACAGGCCACTTCAGGCCTGAGGTCTCCTCACCTTCCCAAGTACCCAGCACATGTACCTAGCACTTGTACTCAGATTCGGTGCAAGGGACAGGATTGGCTAAGAGAGGTATTAAGGATGTACTTAAAGTTCCCCTTGATTTTGTGGTTCTACTTCTAGAGGAACACTTTGTTTACAATACTGTAACTCTAATATTTGATTTGTTTTTGGAACTGAGCAAGGATGTGATTTATTTGTATTTCTGTTTATTCTACAAAAAAGCATCCAAAACATCCTAACATATGGATGTATTTCAATCTAGAAAAATGATCCACATCCAATCCAGCATTCATATTATACTACTGAGTATTAAGAGAAACATACCTCTGCTCCTGAAAATTTTTTATCAGCTCCTTCCATTTTTCCATATCTTCTTTGTTTTCCTTAACAATACTCATTCTTTCCTTTATGGTTTCCTCACTTTTTCCTCAATCTGTCAAGTCTAAACAAACTCTGTGTCAAAGAAGCATGCTGAATGCTGAAGTCTTGTATTAATGAATACTCTGATGCTTTTTGGTTCTTGGTTTCTAAAAACTGAGCATGCCTTTGCCTTACTTTTTCAATAAATCCTGATCTTCTTAATTGATGTTGTTGTAAAGCTTCTTGAATTCTAATGTCTTCTTCTTTGCATCTTTTCTGAACACCATTCTTTTTCTCCTTAAGAAAACCCTTAATACAGTAGTCGGCTTCGCCTTTGGCAATTTGCATCTGCATAACCCCACATATCTTTTTAGTTTGGATCTCACATCTCTTACTCTCCCTGTAGGCTTTATCAATAACATAAAATGGTTCAAGTCTTACAGATCCATACATTCTAGCAAAAATCCTCTTCTCTATACTTACTGGGTGATTCACAGCTTTAAGCTGTGGAGCAGGATGAACAAGAGAATGAAATGGGTGTACAGCATGCCAAATTTCTTCCTCTTTCTTTTGAAATATCATCAGCTTATCCTTCACGGAATGAAAAGCAGCTTTACAAACTGAAAGCCTAAATTTAGTTTCTACCTGCTCCTCCATATTAGGTTTCTCCACGTCCAAGAAACCTACAATACAAAGAATGCAATATTTAATCTGTGATGCGTATTTGATTATAAAAATTTACTATTTCTTATTATTTCAGACTCTTTATTAGATTTCAATATCTACTGATGATAAATGTCCTATTTAAGTCAATCTATCCTCTTGTGAGTTTGAATTAAATATTATATTACTTTGAAATAAAAATTTAAATTATCTTGTCATATCAGTACAGTATTATCATCTGCGAAAATTTGCTTGTTCAACACACCTAATAATGATAAGCAAAGGCTCAGAGTTAAGTCTAATAGACTGCTTTTTATTGTGTCAAAATGGCTGTGCAAAAGTTTTAAAATATTGATTAATAATAGTAGTAAGTGCCAACTTAAAAATCATCTACTATTCTTGTTGGAGCCTAATCCAACCCCTCAATGAATTCAATCAGAATCTTTCAATTTACTTTAATAAGTTTTAGATCTACTGAGCTCTATTACTCATCAAAAGAAAATTATGATATTTTTGAAAGTTTCACAAGTTCCTATACCAGCTATCTTTTTAAAGGCAGAATTTTTTAACCTACTGATATTTTAAAAAATCACAGCATAAAATAATGTAACAGTTAAATAATGTTATTAGAAATAATATCAATTTTTATTCCCATTTTTAAAAATATATCCCTTGCTCAACCTCTAGTTCACTGTGTCTCTTAAAATTAAATATCAGTCATATTCAATTGGGTACTCCATCTTCTATATTCATGTCCACAACAAATTCTTCCTCCCTTTTATACTCTGAGTATAATACATGTTGAAATATTGTCATTGGTTTTATTTATATGAAAATGTTTACAGGAGAGGTGTATACAAGGCAATTAATAGTTTTTGCAGAGAATAAAGCACAAAATGAAACTAAAGCTTGTCTGAGTACCATAAATGCCTTTCATTTCAAGCATGTTCCAAAGCCATGGATATTCTTTTTGTTGGATGGTAAGAAAAAAGAAAATTCAAATAAAAATAAAATAAAATAAATAAAATAAATGATTATCTTGCCTCGTGTGGATTTTAAAGTTTTTTGAAGCTACTTTTTTGGACTTTCCACTGATGTAACTTGGAGGTAGTGGGAACTATTGTTCAAGAGCAGGTTCAAAAACAAATAAGTGTCCCA